AGGCAAAAGGCGGGGGGGGGGCGGGGGCAGGGAGGGAGCCGAAAGTGAGCCAAGCCATTGCTGGCAACCCTTGTCTCGGTGCTAAACCTACTCCTTTGAGAGAGACCAGGCAGGGGAGGGACCTTACTTTGTAGAGAGGAGAAGGAGAAAAGAAACTTGGAACTGGCTTCCCTTGTGGCATGTCTGTGTCCTGAACATCCCCTCCCCACTCCACTGTTTGTTAAATGAAAAGCATGTGAAGAACATGAGGTTTCCTGCTTGAGAGGGAGGGCAGTACTGGACTGGGTGAGGGAGGAGGAAGGCAAGTTGTGGTTTTGTGGTGTGGTTTACATCGAGATCAGAGCTAGTGTGCCTGGGGGTGGGAGCAGAAAGAGAAAGGGCATCTGATGCCAGCTGCCAATATGACAGAAACCCTGCAGCTCCCAGCCCTGCAAGTCCCAGAGCAGCAGGTGGTGGAGGGTGGCCGTGCCTGGTCCAGTTCGTCCACCCCAACCCTGCGCAGGAAGCGCTTCAAGATGAGGCGGATGAAGAATGTGCAGGAGCAGAGCCTGGAGGCCAGCAGGTATCAGGATTATCCTTCCTCCAGCAAGGAATACCTGCAGCTCCCATCCATTGAAATCACCCCCTCCAGTGATGAGGACACTCCGTGGTCCAACTGCTCCACACCCAGTGCCTCCCCGCGGCGCAAGCGCTTCCTCCTTCGGAAGTGGCTGCGTGTGAGAGAGAAGAAGGAATACAGTGAGAGCAGGTATGTTTTTGGCCACTTTCTCTTCCCTGCTTCCAAGAAGTGCCTGTCCACAATAGGTAGGTTGTTCCCCTAGAAATCTTGGCGCGCTTCTCCCTGGGACTTTGTCCTCACCTGTTGGCTGGAATGGGTAATGTAGTTGGTTGGACTTGCTGATGCCAGACCAAATGGCCTAATCCTTATGTGCAAACAGTAGGCATATTAGAAACAGCAGTGCTAGGATCTGTCCTTGTTCATGGTCCTCTGCATACCTTCTGCAGGTAATACAGAGCCAGTGAAAAGAGCTTGCTTCTGAGTGAGGGAGGCTGTCCTGAAAGAATGGGTGATAAGACTTAAGTTCATTAAGGTGTCCTGAAGAGACCCTTGAGAGAGAGGAGGTGACCTCTCTGCTGGGATTACCAGGGCAGGGAGTGATGATGCCAAACCTTTGTCAGTGTTTTTTTTGGTGATGTTCATTCTTACTGCTGAGACCTTCTCAGAAATCCTTCATTCAGTTGCTGACATTGGGAGAATGTGAGAACAAGAGAGAAACAAAGCAGCCCTGTGGCTAGTAGGTGGGTCTGCATGTCGAGATGTCTGGGTTCAGTTCTTGGCTGCTTTCCGGACTTGGAAGTCACTCAGCCCTTTGGCTCAAAAGGGGACAAATAATTCATAAAGACCTCCAAGAGCTTGTCAACACAGGAAAATTAATGTCCAGGGAGTTATTGTGTGGCCATATGAAGAAAAAGCTATACCTTTGTAACCCTCTGCAGGTGCAATCAGGGTCTACAACACGCAGTATAGTTTACTCTGCCTTTTTCCTGAAGGCCCAAAATACACAAGATGATTTAAAGGTTTCTCTGAGAAATTAGTGCATTATAAATCCTCATCCTAGCTTAGTGTGGGCCAGTTTTTCTTTTGTTGCTTTGCAACTCCCATACAGCCTATATGTGTGGGTTTATGCCTGAAAATATGTACTGTACTTCCATAAAAAAAAGAAACTTCTCTTACTGTTTCTGCACGCAACATAACTAGGTTGACTCACTGACTGCTGTGTTGCTTGAGTGTTTATAGGACAGAGCTTTTTCTTCTGCTAACATCCACTTTGATTATGTGGTAACTCTTCTTGTGTGAGGTCCCTTTAGCAAGGTCAGTCTGTCATTTTATTAAGCTTTGGGGAAGTTTCATCAATAAATGCATGCCATCAAGGATTTGATAATACCTCTTTTAAAAAGTTAACATTGAAAAACATATCTTGGTTGAGAAAAATTAACTGATTTTCACTTAGCTGTGGTGATACAGGTAGTGATTCAGTTATAGCATAGAAAACAGGAAGGATAATGCATAGGGCATATGCTAATGTGTCAATCACAAAGTTCAGGTCTGAAGTTCAACAGAGAGGATGGCTTTTCAGCTGAAGGATTTAATTTGGGCTTATTGATGGTGAATGTGTTTGAAATGGAGGCCAAGACATTTCTTTTGGTGTGAATGTGTAAGAAACTTAGTTCATTCATGTACACATGATAATCTCCATGGCTATGCTGACAGCTTTCTGCTTATTCATCATTAAGACATTTCTGCCTTAACCCTGGTTATGTTTTTGAAGCAGTGACTGGAAAAAAGCTGAAGTGGTTGATGGATTAGGTGGTATTAGCATACCAAAGCCAGCATGGCACCTCCTTTCTTCATATGTAGCAGGCTCCAAAACTATCCCTTTTGCAATGGGAAACATGATGTCTTCAAATGGAATTTTTCCCTTTCTAGTCTGGGGAGGGGGGGGGAACCCCAACAGTTTGCTGGTCACTTTGTGCTGAGCCTCTGGGCTTGCAAAATGCAAAGATCATCACTGGGCTTTCAAAACTCAGCAGACATGAAAACAACACAGGGAAAGCAAAATCTGTGGGGAGTTAGTCACAGAAAGAGTGATGAACCCTAAAGGATTTTGTGGCATTAATTTGAAAGAGACTAGTAGCTAGCACCGTGGGGTAAACCTTACTGTACCCGAGGCTGTTGCATGTGAAACCCTGTTCTAAAATAGCCCAGGAGGCTGGCTTTCTGTACAGCAGATACTGCCTGTCTATCTTCCCCTACTTTAGGCTTGGTCATCTAGAGCATTGGCTCTCTCTTGCTGCTGTTTTATTTTGATGTTGCTCTTTGTAACAGATGCTAGTAATGTCATTTATTGTACAATTAATTTGTTTAAGGGCAACAGGGACTAATGTACTAGAGTAAAGGCTGAAGCATTTCATCCAGCGGTTTTTCCACCAAGCCCTGTCTTGGGGTTGAGTTACAGTGATGATGCTTGAACTGTCCAGCTGGTTAATTGTAACACGATTGTAACAGGGATTCCCAATGTGGTCAGTGTGCCACACATCTGCTTAGGAGCGTGGTACGCTATTAAGCGCTAAGGTTCCCAAATTTCACCTGGTAAAGGGGGCAGCCATCAGCATGCGGTTCCCACCAGAGAAATTAATGCAGTTTGCTTCCAGTCACTCCCTCTTTCTAGTTAAATTGTTGTCAAGCAGTTTGAATTTTTTTTGGAGTCTGGTAACCTTTACCCCCATTATGTGGCCAGATATCTGCCTGTTTGTATGGCAGGGTTTTCCCAGGAAAGCTGGTAGTTGAGAGCAAACTGTGCACCAGCTGACTTATTCCAGTGATGCATGTGTTGCTCACGTGCCCCTGAGCAAGAGCAATAGCTCTGTGACCATTAGCATACAGTAAGCATCCAAGTGAATAAACAAATGCTTTTAGGACTCGAAATGCTGTCTGTAATGCTCCAGGTCTGATGAAGGCTGGCTGCTTTTTTCATCTGGAAACTCCAGCCTGCAAAATGTTCTATATTGCTAGTTAGTTTTTAACAGCCTGGATAATCCGAAGGTTTGTTTACCTGCTGGTTCTCTAAAAGCTGTTAGGTGGCTGATGGTGAGAGCAGAAGAGAGACTGATTATTTCTTTTCATTAAACAGCAGAGGTGGCATGTAAGAGCCTTGCTTGCCTATCACAGTTTTGTTCAAGGTGAAAGAGCAGGGAGAAGCCATTTCTCGAGGGTAGGAGTTTCCCTGTAACTTGTCCTTGTACAAAAGCATGATGATCCAAACTGCAGGTTTGGTGCTCTGGGGGCCTATACAGAGGATAAATAGGATGATTTTTATAAGGGATGCAGACAGCTTCTTACCTATATTCCTCATCCATCATTTGCTACCCAGGTAATGATGGAAGTTATTTACCTGCATACAGTTTTATAAAGTATGAACCCTGCACACAAGTGCACAAATTTTGTATTAAGGCATGATGATATTTATTTCCTCACAGGCTAGTGGATACAATCTATTAGCATTTAGCTATGCATGTAATGAACATGCATTATTGATGTTGGGATGCGAGAGTGTATCTGCTTTAATTTATTATTCATTTCTTAAAGCCACCCTCGCTAGTAATCTCTGGAATTGCATGTGATTCTTGATGTGTAAGGCAAGAACTGCTGAGAGGGTAGATCACTTGGGCTTAAAGGACTGTTCTTTTGGCCTAAGATCGGTATTGGAATGAGATCCTGTGCTTCCACCCTTCCATTGGCAGAAGCTGAGAGTAAATAGGCGGGCCCAATACTATCATTGTCTGACTTGGGCTCCTGTGTGAATGTTCAACAACAGTACATATGTAATAGTTGAGGTATAGTAAATCTTTTGTTCTTGAACAGTTTCCTATGAGGCATTTTGTGCTGGGCAAAGATCGTGCTAGTGGCAATCTGAATGTGCTCCGCTACTGTGGGAAGAAACAAGCCAGAATGCCAAGGATGGTAAAAGGTTTGAATCATCTTTTACTCATTGTTATTCCTTGCTGAACTTGCTTTTGCAGGAGGTCCTGGAAGCTGTTGTGTCCTGATGCCTGCAGTCCCTTTCCAGAGCTCCCTTTCCCTTGAGCTCTCCAAAATCACGTGGTTTGTCTTCTGTTAACGCTTGCCCAAAAGATAAATTTGTTTGGTCAATCACAGCGTCCAGACTAGTTAATAATGAAATGTGAAATGTTGGTGCTTCAAAGAATGTAGAACTTGTTATGGATTTTGTTGGATCAGTGGGGAATAAATTGTGTTGTAGCTCTTGACATTTCTAAGGTTGAATGTACTCAGTTTGGTCCTCTGCTGGAAACTCTGGCACTTACTGAAGTCCTAAATGACAGGTTCAGCTAAAGGGAAAGACTCACCTATATCCTAAAATGTCTCTAACATAAGATGTTAAAAATTAAGTATATTAGAAGCATTCCATCTCATCTCATTTTAGAAAAGGGTATGTGCTGTGGAGACGGAGGTTTCTTGAGCTGCCGGACACACAACCATAGATGTTTTACAGACGAATTCTTCATAGCTTATCTGATAGTGTGAAACAAATGACACATTAGGAGAATCTTCAGCACCGTTCAGCAGTGTGCTCTGTGACTGTTACCGTTCACATTCTGTGGCAGAAAGAGGTAAAGTTTCTATCTTTTTTCCTTAAGAAAAAAGTTCACTTGTGAAGTCTCTTGTCACCCTACTGAGATACATCAGTCAACAGTGAACTGCTGAGTTGTTGGAACTTGTGCTAAAAATATTATTTACAAATAAGTGTGTTAGATATTTTGACTTTTCTCATAAAACTAAATGAATCTTTAATTTCAAGTAGTGGATAATATTTTTGCTTTTCTTAACAAAACTGAAATTCACTCTGAATGTTTCTGCTTATTAATGCTTCGTTCACCTTTTTCTTGCTTCCACACCCAGGAAAAATACTGTGGTGTTTTCTAAAGGAAAAAGGATTTTTCTCCCCATTTTGACTTCTCATAAAACTAAATGAATCTTTAATTTCAAGTAGTGGATAATATTTTTGCTTTTCTTAACAAAACTGAAATTCACTCTGAATGTTTCTGCTTATTAATGCTTCGTTCACCTTTTTCTTGCTTCCACACCCAGGAAAAATACTGTGGTGTTTTCTAAAGGAAAAAGGATTTTTCTCCCCTAAGTAACTGCTAAATTGAAAAATAAAAACCCAA